GGTGGGTGCACACAGGCTGCTAATTGTGGACGGCCATAAGAGCCACAGCTCACATAAATTCTACAAACACTGTAAGGAAGAGAAGATTATTGTTCTCTGTATGCCTGCTTACTTGTCGCACCTGCTGCAGCTACTTAATGTGGGTTGCTTTTTGCCTTTAAAGTGGGCATATAGTAATGAGATTAGTAGCTTGGCACAGTACAGCTCTAAGCAGATCAAGAAGGAGGCTTTCCTACTAGCCTTTAAAGTAGCTTTTAAGAGGTTAATTACAAAGGAGAACATCTGTGCAGGCTTTAGGGGCGCTAGACTAGTTCTACACAACCTAGAGGTGGTAATATTAAAGCTTAATGTGGTCCTTTGTACGCCAACTCTACTAAAGCTAGAGGACACCCTATAGGAATTAAAAACTCTAAGCAACCTCTGTAAGATAGAGGCTTAGTTAACGCTGGTTTGTGAGCGTGTATGACTGCACAGAGATTCCCTAGTTTCTCCTCTGCTTAGAGCAGTTAAGCAGCTGAACAAGGGCATTGCACAGATAGGGCATAATAGCGTGTTAATGCGACAGGAAATAGCAGGGCTTCGCAAGGCAGTAGAGATTAGCTGTTAGGTGGACCACTCGCTTGGGTTGGACCGCTCGCTTGTGAACTACGTTACTAGTTTATTACTAGATAGGTAAGAATAGAAAAGACTATAGAAATAACGATATAAAGCTTCTTACTATACTAAGTATAGAAAGTCTATATAGATAAGTAGTAGAAGAGAAGTTCTCTATAGTTAGTTTACTAGTTAAGTTAGCTTTTACTTACTTTCTATTCTTTATTTACTATACTTAGCTTATACCTACTAGTTTTATCTCTAAAGCAAAGAGATATCTCTTATTATAAGTAGAATAGAAAGCTTTTACTCTTATTTTTCTAGTACTATATAAGTAACTTCTTTTTTTACTATATAGAAAGAACAATAAGATAGTGCTATAAAGTAAGAAAAGAAAGTAGTATTAACTAATAGAAAAATACTAAGATAAAGAGAGAAGAGATCTAGTAGTAGTTAAGTAGATACGCTATAGAGTAGCTTTTCTACCTACTTTACTAAAGTTAATAGCTAGTAGCTACTCTTCTTCTACTTAAAAAGAAGTAGAGGGTATAGATTATAGAGCAGAGTATAGAGAGTATAGATGGTAGTAGAATAGAAAATCTTACTATTATCTCTATCTTTATTATAACTAGAGGTAAATAGACTAGAGAAGAGAATAGAAAGAATAAAATAGTAGAAATAATTATTAGCTAACTACTTTCTTTCTTATTTCTAAGGTAAGAATAATAATAATAAGTGTAAAAGGTAGAGATAAAAAGATAGAGAGTATAGAGTGTATATATTAATAAAGCTAACTACTAGAATAGCATTCTCTTCTAAAGAGAATAGAGAAAATAAAATACTTATATATACTTTACTATTTAGAAGCTACTATAGTAGGGAGAAAAGTAGAGCTTTTAAGTATAGAAGATAGATTTTAAGCTTTCTAAAGTAGTTTCTTCTATACTAGTAGCTAGATTGCTAGATACTAAGCTAGTAGTACTAGTAGTAGATTTATTCTCTACTTCTTTTATATCTTTTTCTAGGTCTAGTAGTGTAACTTCTAGTAGAATCTTATAAAGTAAAAGAACCTTCTTAGTATCTACTTCTACTACTTTACTTAGTAGCTCTACTATTATAAAGTCTTCTTTAGTAGTATAGCTAACGTAGATTATCACCGAGCCAGCCATATCACCGAACCAGCCATTTTCTCTTAGCACGACTAACACAAGTTACTACAACTACAACTACTTACTATTAAACAGTGACCTAGCATACTGCATGCTTATATTAGATTTAGAAGATGTTTCTGCACCCTCCTAGCACGTTTGTGCGTTGTGTCTAGTTTTGCTGCAGTTCCTACAGCGCTGAACAGTTAACTAAGCTCCTAGTTGACCACCTCTACCCTAAGTCTTCTTAGATGGCTAAGCTGCTACACACGCCTCAGCAGCTACCCGCGATGCTGCTAGGCCATACTTAAGTGTGCCACTATGCTAAATCTGCTTTCTCTTACGCAATTTTCTCTTAGTTATTAACGTACCTCACGGGCTCGTGGATCACCCGGGCTCGTGGATCACTTTTGCCAAGCCCCCACCAAAACCACCCCATTCTGGCGCAAAATAGCCCACTTTGGCCCTGTATAGTACAAAGCAAGATGCGATATCATTCAGAGTCTACTTCTACTACCTTCTGGCAGGTACGCGCATTATGCCCAGTCTCTTTGCACTGTGTACACCGTCGTTGAGATGGTTCACCTACTTCAGCGCGCACCCGCCTCTTTGGCTTCTTCCCATCACTACGCGCCCCAAAGTCCTTGAGAGCAGCTAAACAAGCCCCATCCTCAACTGTTAAGGTCCCCTCTGCTTAAACCTACTTTCTTTTGTGCGATCTACGTCGCGTAGCAGCCTTATTTGCCGCTTGAAGCTCTGCAATCTCCTTTTGCGCCAACACTAGCTTGTGCGCGATAATTACTGCTCCCTTTGAGACCTTCTTAAAAGCCTCTACTATAGACATTAGTGAGCTATCTACATGCCTCTAAATCCTTGCCTTCACGAGCGTTAATTGCAATCCTAATTTAAGGGTATTGCTTAGGGTTTGCAACTGCTAGGGCTTATTGCTAGGGAGTAGTGGTGATAGAGTACGTAGCTGGACATCAAGCGCTATTATAACCCGTTCTAGGTTAAATAGGACTAATCTAGCGCCTTAAAACCCTCCTTAGATATTACTAGGAGTAATTGCTGCATTATAGGCGCGTATAAAGCATGGTAAGAACTCAAGCTTTGTGATGTAGGTAATCCAGTTGCGCATGAGATTCTCAGCTTGGCGGCCATACGCTGTCTTCAAAGGCGAGAAACACCCCACATCAAGAGGCTGCAGGAGGTGTGATGAGTGTGGAGGCATGCAGATAGTGATAATCTTGTTCTCCTTGCAGTATTCCTGGAAAGCGAGCGAGTCATGGCTCTTATAGCCGTCAATTGCGAGCAGTTAGTGGCTGCTAACTACTCTCTTCTTTGTATGCTTATTAAAGTGCTTCAACCACTGCAGGCCAAGCTTATTTATTGTCTAGCCATTCTTAGATACTGCGATAACCTAATTGTGAGGTAGATCCCCCTCCTTGTACCAGGCAGAGAGGTGATGGCGGCCCTTGAAGATAATAAAGGGTGGAATAGCCTACCCTGTCGCGTTGATGCCCTGGATGACTGTTGTCTACTCTCTGTTGCCTTGCTGCACTACCTTTAGCTGTCCTTGTCTCTCTAAAGCTGTAACAACTAAACTAGTAGATATCTAGCCTATCATGAAGCTAGCCTTGTTAAAGTTAAACATATCTTCATCTAGGATGCTATACTTAGCTTTAATGTTAGCTGCTAGGCCAAACCAGCCTTGTATAATCTTAGGATCCTCGCAGAGGGCTCTCTTGTAGTTGTATTTGCGATTAAACTTTGTTGTGAGCTCAGGGCGGCCTTTGACAAACGTACTGGGCCAGTTTAAGCCAACTTGGCCCATATTGCGCTCTGCGCGCAAAGAATTGGCCATATCAGCCACAGCTGCAAGCCTGGGGGGAAATCCTCGGGTGACTAGCTCAAGTATATGCTCAACAACTACGTCCTCCTCAATCTTAGTCAGATTCTTTGATTTAGGCCAGTAATCTGCTTGTGGAGTCTGTCCTGCGCGTCAGCGGCTTAGTGTTGATTGAGCGACGTTGTAGATAGCTGCAGCGCGTCGCTGAGAGAGTGTCGCGTCTTGTTTAAGAGCCTGAAGGGCAATCTGTATCTGACGTTCATTAGAAGGTTCTATCTGGCGTTGTTGTTGAGGCATCACGTAGGAAGGTAGAGTTTGGTGGGGGCTTGGCAAAAGTGATCCACGAGCCCGGGTGATCCACGAGCCCGTGAGGTACGTTACTACTAATTACTCTTTAAGCTCTTGCATGCAGGCCTTAATAAGGACATTTTTCTATAGTATCTCTTCAGCCCCTATTATAAGCTTTAAGAACCCCTCTTATGCTACACTTAGTAATTATTAGAAGGAGTTACTTATAAGCTTAGATTAAGACCTAAACTTGTGTGTATTGCTTAGCGTCTTAGATTACTACAGCGTTTTAGGTAGAGGTACTGCTAGTAGGGTATGCAGCTGCACTTTAAGGCAATCTAACACTACCTGTGCATTAGTAGGAATAAGCCCTAATACCTTAAAGGCCTTTTAGTAGTTAACCTTTATAAATATATTAAGGAACACGTCCCTAAAGGCTAGTAGGAAGCCTTCCTTATTAATATAGAAAATGTATTAGCGTGCTAAGTCTTAAACGTGTTAGGAGTACTTACGCTTTAATAGTAAGAAACAGACCACGTTAAGTGGCTAGAGGATGTGTAATAAGTAAGGTAGCATGTAGAGAGTATGCTACCTTATATAGCTAGGGCGCAAATCCTTGCGAATTAAGGTTAAGTATATACTAGATAATTGTCTGCTCCTCTAGTATAGTAAGTTTCTAGCAATTAGTGTGTATGTCTAGTTAAAACGTGATATTACAAAGGTAATTAGAGACCTGCTAATAAGGTACGTTCAACGCTCTAGCAGCGCTGTGGATACTGCAAAATTAGCCAGCATAGAAGGCCTAGATAACAAGGATAACTCTGCCTTCTCTAGTAGTATTCTGAAGTTGTTGTTGTTGAGGCATGTTGTGTTGGGGTAAAAGGTGGTTGTGCTAAGAGAAAGTGGCCGGTTCAGTGATATGGCCGGCTCGGTGATAATCTACGTTAGTGTCTTTTAAATAGTCTTCTTTAAGCTTAGATAGTGTTTCTAAGCTAGAAATAGGAATATCTCTCTTAATTAGTTCTTGTAGAAATACTATATAGTTAACTATTGTCGTGGGATACATAAGGAGCTGGTCAGCTCGTATCCCCGAGCTCTAGCCGGAGCTCCACCAGGCACGGAGCAGGAGAAAGTATTCTCTATATAATCCTATATATTCTTCCCATCTAATCTTATTAGGAGATTAGTAGTCTAATACATATCTTAATTACCTAAGCTTTGTCAACGCACTTGTCACCATGCCCAAGGTTTCTTATATTCTTACTGAGGTAGAACCGCCTGTCTTCGGGGTTTGGGTAGGTCAACATAGCCGTAGTCTCTCCCACGTAGAGGAAACCAGATGCGAGACCTTTAATAACCTGATTATATCAATGAGAGCTTACAAGAAAGTGTGTGCTTTAAACCTACGCTGGCTGCCAGGAGGTACCCATCACCACCAAATCTAGCGCTGACATAGTACGAAGATCCGTCTAGCGGGATTGAAAGAGCTGCAATCAAGCAAGCCCACTTGATTCCAATCTTATTGATGAGAGGTCCTCCAAAAATGGTACTGAGGAAGCTGCAAGCGTAACTCATCGAGTTTGCAAGATTTCCCAGCCATGGTTTAGACAATCCACCCCCCCCTAGATTAGATATGGCATCAGACATAGCAGGACCGACCAAGGACAGCCTATGCGAAAGTTAATTTACTACTTGCAGCTTCAGGTCTCACACTCACATCCCAAATAGCACCATTTGGAACAGCACGCTCCGGTAAAAAGTTCGAGGCGTGTAGCTCCGGGTTTCTTCCAGCGACCCAGTGGCCAGGTCCTCGAGGCCATCATTCACAGCATCAACCATATCGGTCTTTTTGGTATCGAGAGCATCCATGACAAAATGTACTTGGGTTATACTCCCCAAATCGAGACACGATGGATGACTTATAGCCACGGAGGACGCGACCATATGATAGCGAATTGGTTTAGGAAATAATTTTTAGAGGAGAGCTACCCCGCGCTCCCTACGTCTAGCGTGACATTGGCCCGGTTCCAGACCCGATTAAGCGTGCACAAATGCTTTTGAAACCGGCCCGGTCAGCGCTCTTATCTCAAAACCATGATAACCTATCTCATATCTATGTTTCGAATGTGGCAACGAATAAGGAACATCTTGTTGCTTTGCACATAGCCACGTTATGCCTGATCAGACCCTGTCAAGTACGCCAGCAGCAATTTCCGAAAACTAGCCAACCGTGGGTGCACTGTCAATTTAGTGATTGTGATAGACTCTTGTCCCTGAGGTCTCGAGTCAATGAGTCCAACATGATGTTGCCACACACGTCAATTACCAACTCTGGATTCTAAATCTCTAGAGACTGCACTACGAATGCACAATCGTTACGGGCCCAGCAATGAGCGCAGTTCTTATACACTCGACAGAGGCAGCCCGCCCACTGTTCGCGGCAGCCCATTCTCGGCCTCAAAACCCTCGAAGGGGTAAGTGACAATTAATTTGATTGGCTGTTGTAATCCCCACGACAATTCATTACATGCATCGAAGGAAGACAGGTCGACGAAGATAGTTTTCCAAATTAGAAAGATACCTGCTACAGCATATAGGCCAGACGGGAGTACTAGTGATGAAGCCGTGGAAGGCCATTCCAGCGAATGCAGTCATATCGAGGCGTACGACAGAATTTTGCAGGGAGCTGCTCAACAGAGTAAACACAGAGGCCATACAGTCCAGATGAAGGAGATGAGCTAACCACTTACCACAGGTGTAGAGATAAGACATCTGCGAGTATGTTGGCAAGCATAGCCTCACCTCAAATTCACCAACGTTCCATCCCCACAACGGACTTGCCCCCGAAAACACTCTCTAGAATTGAAAGTTGACGGCAGCCACAACTGGGTGGATGCAAAAATTGCCTATTTCAAAAATACCGAGACCATATGGGGTCTGAGGGGAGACCCTGGCGCTGAGAAATGCAAGGTCTTTGCTGCGAGTCTTTTATCAGTTGATTCGTGACACGGAAGCGCGTTGGTTGATTTCTATCACTACTGTGGGAACGTTCAAGCAATCTATAGTATGTAGGAGGAACATCAATATCTAGAGACATCATTTGGCTATCCAGCAAGGCACCCTTCCAGAATGCGTCGTCATCGAATGATAGGTAAGATTGCAAGATGACTATGCATTCTGGTACATGCAGGACATCACTTTTGTGAGATTAGTCACATCTTTGAGTGCCGGGGCCGTGAAGGTCTTGCGCGACCCATGAGCGTGGGCGGAAGTCCTATGGCTGTCCGCAGTTTTCGAATCAATGCCACTCCTTGGGTCCGAACATCTCTCCCTTCGCTACAGTCTTGCGAAATGCCATCATATTATAGTCCAACGTATTGAAAACATCTACGTTGCCCCACCATTGCGGTGCATTGACTCCGGGCAGAGTGATAGCGAAGAAGATCACCACAGTGCTCAAGATCAACCCAGTGTCCAAAGCGGCAGCAGTCAAGTAGTTGTATTGGCGCCACCATCCATGCCATCGCTTCCTGATCCATAGGTTGAAGACGAGTCCAAAGATGACCCATGAGAAAAAGCTGAGGGGAGTGGCTGGGGGCAGCCATGCCATTGCACCAAGCATGACCGGAGCGTGGAGGTTGCTGATGTATCGATGTTTCATCATCTTTGCAAGCCCCCACAAGGCGATCGGAAGGATGCCGCCCACAAGCCAGAACAAGTTGAAATACTTGTAAATGCTGTGGCTTCCAAAAGCACGTGTGGGACCAATAACACCCCAGACAACGCTTGAGGAAAAGAACGTGCGACCGTTCGGACAAGTAAAGTGGTTGGCTTGGATAGGTTCACAAGCGTTCTCGATGTTGGCCAACGCCCAGTCCATTGTCGCAATCTGCACGAAACAACACCATATTGTCGCGGCTATCTGTGCACTGAAGGTGATGCGCGGCGGGATCTTCATATATTGGGCGAGTTTGAGGTCGCCGCAGAACGTCTCAAAGTAGAGCGTGTTAGCCTAAAGAAATGAAGACAGAGGTGAATAGAACCACATACCTGGGCTTGACCTAGGACGATCGTGCTGTACACCTTGAATATCATCACGCCGATTGGCTTTCCGGGGAAGAGATATCCGCCAATGAAAGGGCTTATCACGTTTAAGGAGAGCATGATATTCGTCATGCCCATGATAGTACAGCAGGGGACGACGAATATCCCGGCAATGATGCAGGCGACGAGAAACCCCCACCATGGAAGTTGAGTGTCATAGCCTGCCACGACGCCGAAGCCCATCGTAAGCGAGCTAACCAGCAAAACCAGATACCACCAATCCGGAGCTGATTTGTACTTCTTAATCATATTGAAATGGATATCCTCGGTCTGAGATGAGGCTTCTCTGAACTGCCGGACCAGGATCTTGCCACGGTGAAGAATGGTATGAACTACAGACGCGGTTAAAGCTGCGAAGCTGAGACCATAATTGAGCGCAAATGTTGGCGCGAGGAATAAGGGTGAGTAGGCCTTGTACTTCTCAACGTCGAAGGTGAAGTTTGCTCCAAGGATGTTGCGCACAACATAATGGTTTTGGGTGTTGTCAAAAAGAGTTGAGGTATTCATCGGTAGATATGCAGAATAAAGAGCACCCGAATACGAGATCCCGAGCGCTGGAACGATGAAGAACACAATCAGACCAATGAGAGTGTTCACGTGCGAGAGAGTTGGCGATAGAAGCGGATCTTGTAGATACGGTATCACATTTGACCAGTCAAAGGTCAAAGGGATCAATGAGAGACCGGTAAACCCGCCAAATAGCTGGTTAACAACGACGTTGTCGGGCGCGATCCACGTCGGAAAGTTGAAAACCGATAGACCTTGCCATATGAACCCTGGAAACCAGTAGTAAACAAACATGGCTGACGCGACGTAAACGAACCAGCGATAGTGAGAGATGGACCAGCCATTAGCTTGCGCGGGATCTGTCTTAGACTTATCGTAGAGGGCATACAGTAGCGTTGTGGTCGAAAAGTTGGTTGGCCATGTCAGAGCAGCAGGCCAAACCAGGAAACGGCGGCCAAGTCCAGCAAGACAGATACCGATGAGTTGGCTGCTGATAGTGAACAAAAGCTGGAAGCCCACACCAAGGTCGTGATCGTAGAGTGACTTGGCTTGAAGCGCTAATAAGGCGTCGGTAGAATAGGCATATCCATACGTGACAGATGCCATAAGTGTAACGACGGTGTGCTCCTTGATGCTGAATGGACCTGGGTTCAGCGACCAGACTACACCAAATGTGTTGAACGTCCGAGTAGGCATCACCCGGGCCCAAAAGCAGCCAACGGGATAGACGAGGAGGAGTATGGCGACTACTGGAATGGATATGGCAGGGGATCGCATGGAAAGAAGCATGTTCACGCCGGCGGCGATGGTGACGAAGAAAAAGCCAAGTACCCATGCGCGGAGTGTGTTGGCAGGCTCTTCGCCATCCTCAGTGCGAACAGCAGCTTCCACATATTCGCTCACAGTGACAGCTTCGTCCGTGGTTTCGGTTATTTGGTCTGTAGGAGTGGAAGTGCAGACTGCAGCTGCAGAAGGTTTGGCTGATCGCTTTTCGTTTAGAGCTTCCAAGGCGTCGCTCGTCTCGAACGAGCGGATGTGTTCGGCCATAATCTTTCGTTCTTGACTTAATTGTTACGATGCTGTTGTTTGGCAGTAGTCAAAAATCAGCGCTTGGCGAAGGAGACGATCGTGGAAGTGCAGGTGGCGGGACGTTTGACGACTTTGTACGGTTCAGCCTGAGTGTGAACAGCTGCAGCGATGATCCATGGTGGCATGGTTATCTCGATTGCTCCTCCTGATCCATGCACGGAGCCATTTGCTATCATGGCGCTTGGCGTGAAAGAGAAGGTCGCATCTCTAAGTGATAACTTATCATTTGACCGAAAAACTTGGACAGTATGTCCGGCATGCCTCCCACGTCGCAGAAGATCTGGACGCAAGCTTCTAGTTCCCAGAAAAAAGCGGGCTGTTGCATTTCCTGGACATAGTCAATTTTCTTGGTTGGCGATGATGTGCTATGTTTGATTCTTGCTGCGACGCGTGGCACGGGTCACAAACATGCGGCTTCGCCGTAACACGAAAGGTGGGGTCACTATCTGTTACCTCGGGCATGCTCCGCGCGGATGCCCGAAGGATCGGCGGCCAATGAGGAGCTTTCGAAGGGTTTAACCTGCGTCGCATGTCGCTCGTTGAATCAAGACCACGCCATACATCCGAGTTGAGAGAGGAGCTGTTCGTAAGAGACTCTGGGCGAGATCGGATGAGACCTGAGTAGTTGTCATCTATCCTTACGAAGCTGATGTGAGGAGCTGGGAACAAGCCTTGTGGCGGATACAGGGTGTGACTAGTGCCACGCTACTGCCACCCTAGTGGACGGACGGGCATACGGAGGAATACCAACCTTGTAAAGCATCGAGAGTGCATCCATCACATGGTACAATGTAACGACATGACTGCCTACGTGCGACACTTGCTTTAGATGATAAGCAATACGGAAAGTGTGCCGAGGTTGCACAGGACGTGCATTGCCTTCGAGGTTCCCAAGGCGTTTATGAGCTGCCTATCATCTGATCACCTCTGCTTGTCATCGCTCCTATCAGACTCATACCTACGCAGTATCAATTGCCTTGCCCTTCCATAGACATCATGACCCGCAGACAGCCCATAACGTCAATCTCTGTGACAAAGCCAGTCCAGCTTCCAGAACCAAAGGAGACCCCGACGATCCAAACCACAATTCAAGCATTCACAGCAGACCTTGCCGACATTCAGTCCTTCCTGAGCATCTCATTCAGCCCATCTCGTATTAACAAAGTCGAAGAATTTCTCACCTCAACT